TGGGGGGTTGGGGACAGGAGGGGAGAGACAGGGACACCCCCCCCTCCCCGTCCTAGGTTGCCTCCTCTGCTCTTCCTGCCGCCTGGATCACTCTCCCTGCCGCATTCTAGCCAAGCAGGAACTTGCCTTTTCAAATCTCAGCCTGACGCCTCCTCCTCCTGGAGGTCTTCCCTGGCTTCCGTTCAGTACTCCCCCTCTACATGGGGGTGGGGAGGGAGAAGACCTTCTCCCCACGGAAGTCTCCCCGCTGCCTTCTGTTAGGACGAGGGCTCAGTGGGATACACGAAGGGGCTTTCGGTGTAGATAAAAGAGGAAGGGGTGCATTTGGGAAGAAAGAATTGTCTGAACAATAAATGGCAGGTTTTGCAATGGGTTAGGATAGTCGCTTCCAAACCGTGACTATTTTCGGTGTTGTCAGGAATCGCCTGTTGATTAAAATAGCAATTTTTCCTTGGTATATGTGTACCTGTGATGTTAGAAATTGCCAAGAAGAGGGCTACTGGATATCTTATAGGGATATTTACATGGAATTTAATTTCCTAGTTGTGTCGAGATGTGTGAGTTACCCTGCCAGAGAGTAGGGTTCATGGAACATTTTCATCAATGATTGACCAGTTAATTTTGGGGATGTGTGGTCTAATACATGCTTTTGGAAATATTCATCCAGTCAGCTGCTTATTGAGGGCCCAGGCATTTTTTTTGGACTATCCATAGCAAACAGATATATCAAATGATTATACTTTAGGCATTGTTTTCAAACACAGTCCGCCCCCGCATTTTAATTATAAAAAGGCTGAAAGACCCAAGAAGATGAAGTCACTCACAGTCTCACCACTTAAAACTTCTATCGAAAGAAGGAAGGATTCTGTTTCTAATCTTTGAAATCCCTGCCCAGAGATGCCAAAGGGAAACACTTTGGTGCACAGCCTTTCTGTTTTCAAACAATTTTGGCTAAAGAATAAAGGTGAAAATTTTGGCTGGAAGGGTTTCCTCTTCCATTTTTATTTTTAAAAAGGCCAGAGCAATTATGTTATCAAGTTTTTTTTTCCCCCTCTTTAGCCTTTTTAGGGTTATTGCAATTGTACTTTTTGAGAAATTTAAAAATGTCTAGTTGTAAAATGCACAGACAACTTGCCATCTTAACCATTTCTGAGTGTCCATTCAGTAGTGTTAAGTGCTTTACATTATTGTGTAACCGATCTCCAAAATTCTTGCAAAATGGAGACTCTATTCCCATTCAGCAAGAACTCCGTTCCCCTCCCCTCAACTCCTGAACACCCGCCATTCCATCTTCTGTCTCCACAAATTCTGCTCCTCCAAATTGCTCCTATGAGTGGAGTCATACAGTCTTTGTCCTCTCGTGACTGGCTTATTCCACTGAGTGTGATGTCCTCCGGGTTCGTCCATGTTGTAGCCTGTCTCAGAACTTCCTTCCTTTTTAAGGTTGAATCGTTTCCTGCCATGTGTATGGGCCACATTCGTATACCCAATTCACCCGTCCGTTGGGTCCTTGCCAGCTTTTGGCTGTTGTGAATCATGTTTTTACGAACATGGGCGCAGAGATATTGAGCCCCTGCTTTCAGTTCTTCTGGATATATACCTAGAAGTGGACTTATGCTTTTGATTTTTTGTGAACTTGCTATACTGCTTCTCACAGCGGCCACACCATTTTCAATTCTCACCAGCAACCCTCAGGGGTTCAAATTTCTCTGCATCCTCACTAAAACTTGTTATTTTATTTTATCTTTATAAAGTTATAACTGCCAGGCACTGTGACTCATGCCTGTAATCCCAAAACAGTGGGAGGTCGAGGCAAGAGGATTGCCTGAGCCCAGGAGTTCGAGACCAGCCTGGGCAACGTGGTGACACATCATCTCGACCACAAATCAAAAAGTTAGCTGAGTGCCACAGCTACTTGGAAGTTGAGGCTGCGGTGGCTATGATCGTGCCACTGCACTCCAGGCTGGGTGACAGAGTAAGACTACAACTCAAAAAATAAAATAAAATAAAATAGAAAAGGTTATAACTCTCCTAATGGTTGTAATAAGAGTTTTAAGCATCAGTATGTTAGAAAGGTTCTCAGACTGCTTTAACAGACTGTTCAGGGACTGTCTTGTCCATTTTATGCTGCTATAACAAAATCCCACTGACTAAGTCATTTATAATGAACAGAATTAAAAAACTCATTTTAGATTCAAAGGGTACATGTGTAGGTTTACAGGTTTGCTACATGGGTACATTTTGTGATGGTGAGGTTTGGGCTTCTGTTAACGTCAACACCCAAATGGTGGGCATGGTACCCAACAGGTAGTTTTTCAATCCTTCCCCCTCCTCTTTAGAAGTCCTTAGTGTTCCCATCTTTGTGTGTGTATTTGATCATTTTTTACCTCCCTCTTAAAATTGGGAACATGCAGTATTCGGTCTTCTGATTCTGTGTGAATTTTCTTAGAATAATGGCCCCCAGATGCATCCATGTTGCTGCAAAAGACATTATTTTGTTCTTTTTTATGGCTGCTTAGTATTCCATGGTTTATATGAATTACACTTTCTTTATGCAGTCCACTGTTGATGGACATGTAAGTTGGTTCCATGTCTTTGCTATTGTGAATAGTACTGCAGTCAGCATGTGAGTACAGATGTCTTTTTGCTGGAACAGTTCCACCTCAGCCTTCCAAGTAACTGGAACTACAGATGCGCGCTACCTCCCCCAGCTAATTTTTTGATTTATTGTGGAGACGAGGTCTTGCCAAGTTGCCTGCGCTGGTCTCGAACCTGTGGGTTCTGGCAATCCACTTGCCTTGGCCTCCCAAAGTACTAGGATTACAGGCTGAGCCACTGAGCCCGGCCAGAACTCTCTTTTCTCACAGCCCCACTCGCGTGACAACTAACCACCCCTGCAATAATGCCCTTAATCCGTTCATGAAGGCAGAGCCCTCATGACCTAATCATCCCTTACTAGGCCCCACCTCCCAGCACTTACATTGGGAATCAAGTGTCCAACATTCCAAACACAGCAGGGCCCCAGCGTTGGCTCCCTTTGTGAACCAGCTGTGCATGGAAAAGGAAGTGTCTCCCATTACCTGGCCTTGTTCAGTCTATCTGCAGAATGGACCCTTGACTTCATGAAAGGGGCATTTAGGTTACAGCCAGTTAAAACAATCATAAACACCTTTTCCCTTTAAAGAATCGTTATGAGACTGGGCCACGTGGCGAGACCTTGTTTCTACAAAAAATAAAAATATTAGCTGGGTGTCGTGGTGCTCACTGGGGTGAAAGGATCGCCTGAGCCCAGCAGATTGAGGCTGTGGTGAGTTGTGATCGTGTCACTGCACTCCAGTCTGGGCAACAGAGTGAGACCCCAACTAAACTAAGCAAAACATTATCCTGACATATGAAAGGGGATGTTAGGTGGTTATTTGGAAAAAAGACTGCGTATATTCTTTTGGCCACTTTACGACTTAGAAATGGGTCTGATGTACATTTTCCTGATGAAAAATAGCAGCTCAGAGAAGCAAAGTAATTTGTTCAAAGTCACAGCTGGGATGAGGCAGAGGCAGGAGTTGAACACAGATCCTTGAGATACTACAGTCTGGGAAATTGTGAGGTCTAAGATTCACCCCTGTGGGGGCCCGCCCCGCAAGGGTCGTGGGAAGTGTTGAAGGAGAGACGGATAGGCAACGAACAAAGATCATATACCGGACACCTGCTTCTTGAACAGATGACAATTTAATGTTAGTTAATACAGAGCTTTTATACCATTTTTGAAGGGGCAAGACAAAGAAAATTATTTCACATTCATATCTTTTAAAAGTTACCAGCTAGTGGTCTTAGTAGTGAACAAACCAAGATTCCCATAGGTCTTAGTAGCAAACAAACCAAGATTTCCATAGGCCTCTAGACAATGTCTTATTCATAAAGCCAACAATGACACTCTCAGTCTAATGTCCCAAATTGCAAATGTTTCAAGAAAGTTTTTTTAAGTGTATATTTTTTTATGTGTCAGGAATATTTTTATCTTAGGCTCTTATGTTTTTTAGAGGCCTGTGATCGTCTCTCTTGTCCAGATGTCTTTGTTACTTTTCTCTTATCTTGTAGTGCTTGTTTTTAAAGAGAACTCAAAAGAAGTTTTTAGTAATGTTTTTCAGGCCCCTCAAGGTTACTTTTTGTTTTAGCTGATCTGCCATAAAAGTGTCTGATTATTATATTCTGAGTTTAGTGAAAACCTACTCTATAAATGTTAACTTAGAGTTTTAACTATAGAATTAAGTAAAAACCTTAACATTAATTTTTATCCGAAGTCAGTGAAAACAGTGTTATAAATCACCTATATAATTTTTAGATAAGTGTTAGAATTTATAGTGAATTTATAATGAACTTATTATAAACTTGTGTTTATAAAAATCCTTATGTCTAAACATTAAACTGTATAATTTTAAATTAAATAAGGAGTGGATATACTTATATCATTTATTACTTAAGCAATATCTAGTAACTTATAACCAAGTGAAAGAAAGTATTTTTGATGTGTTTTAGAGTTTAACCCTTGCATATGTTAGAAAAGGTCAAGTGGCATAGTGGGAAAAATGGAAAAATAAACCATGATATTTTCAGGTTAGTTGTGATTCTTCGCATAAACATGTCATCTTTTTTTTCACGACTGTACAGAATTTCTTCAGCCGTATCAATAGCAAAGACGGAAGACAGAAGGGCCTCAGCTGCCCGGACTCGCTTTGTGGCCGGGGGTCTTCAGTGCACCTGGACTTTGTCAATCAGGCGGGCCTCCAA